TAATTATAGTCGAATTTCGACTACTGCGGGACCACTAGTTATTATTAATTGGTGCGGCGAAAACAAATTGCTATCCTTATTTGTGAGTAATGTATTGGGATGAATTGTTTAAAATCTCATTTAAATGTTGAGTTCGATCGGTGATTGTGGTTTGTTGCTGTTTCATAGAGCTATATTCGTTATGCTTTACTGATCAGCGAATAGCTGTTTGAATTCACTGGTGGTAGGACCTCTTGGGAGTCCACACGGGAAGGTACCGCCACCCCGCCTATTTCCGCCGTGAAGCAGTAATGCGTTTCGGTTCGAAGGATGGGGTAGCCGTTGTAACTATACTGAGATCTTAGAACTTATATCTCGAGGTGGGTGGCGCATTTACGTTGTAGATGTCTATGGGCTCCAGTAACCACTTAACACCAGGTGGGCTGTGAGCTCGTCCATCCATCTAAGCAATAAAAGAAAAAAAATATTAACTTAAAGAGCCTGAAAATTCCTACCGAATTATATCTTTGACGAGATTGTTTCTACTATGCTATTTGGAATATTCTTATAACATATATTTATGTATATACTAGAATGTGGTTTAAAAACCCAAACTATTTGTTAAATGCGTAAATATTTTCAACTTAAAATATAACCTAATTGCCACTCATTGCTTACTAGCAATCACTTACTTATAATCATAGAGCATATTAAAATTATTAACTAGTTGTTAATTTGTTTTATTTGATATATAATATTGAAATATAGCATTGAATATTTATATAAACTGAATATAATAAGGCAAAAGTCGTCGTGGCCTAAAGGATAAGACGTCCGGTGCATTCGTATGTAGCGTACGCAACGGTGTTAGAATCCCGCAGGCGGGTACCAATTTTTCTAATGAAATACGTACTTAAATGTTCACGATTGACTTCCACGGTGTAATCCATTCCATTGTGTAATAAAAGTCTAGCTCGCAAAATTATAATTTGCGTAATTACTGGCGTTAGGACTTCTTGTGAGTCCGCACCGGTAAGTACCACCACCCCGCCTATTTCTGCCGTGAAGCAGTAATGCGTTGTAGATGTCTATGGGCTCCAGTAACCACTTAACACCAGGTGGGCTGTGAGCTCGTCCACCAATCTAAGCAACAAAAAAAAAAGATCAGGTATCTACATCGTGTCTTTTTTTCCCTAATTTATTAGCAGGTAACCTAAGGTGCTATTCCAAGTATGCGCAGACGGGTAGGTGAGTTCACGGGCTCAACCTGAGAGAATGTGCTAACAGCAGCGCTTTGTAGAATCTACCACCGGATCAGAATCGCGATCCACAGAGAAGATCCGGCCAGAAACTCAGCGGGTTGCGTCTATGAGTTAGTTCGCTCACCGAACTCTGCGTCTTAATCAACGAATATCGCTTCAAAATTATTAGCTACCAACAATTTTTTTTACCTTTTTTCTTCAATCTCTTATTTGTGTCATTTTCTACGGCACGTCTGTCTTAGTTCTCTCGATCCAAGAAGGCGTAATGATGACCTTCACTCTTGCTGTAGTCGTCGTGACTTAAAGATAAAACGTCCGCTATCTCGTCTCGGAGGGGTCGCACTGGCGACCGACATAGACATCTACAACGACCGCCCATAGACATCTACGACGTAAATGCCGCCACCCACCTTGAGATATAAGTTCCAAGATCTCAGTATAGTTACAACGGCTGCCCCACCCTTCAAACCGAAATGCGTTACTGCTTCACGGCAGAAATAGGCAGGATGGTGGTACCCACCCGTGCGGACTCACAAGACGTTCTACCACCAGTAATTACGCAAATTATAATTTTGCGGGTTTTGATTTTTATTACACGATGTTATTCCTTCACCGTGGAAGTAAATCGTGAAAATTTGTTAAGTACATATTTCATTAGAAAAATTGGTACCCGCCTGCGGGATTCAAACACCGGTGCATCGCTACATACGAATGCACCGGACGTATTATTCTTTAGGCCACGACGACTTCGCGACGATATTTTGTAATTCAATTAAAATAGTTCGTATTCTAAAAAGTATCATTTTTTAAAACGACCTCTGAGTAAACTCCCATATCAGAGCAGTTATACAACACAATTGACAGTTGTCGCTAAATGTGCCTGTCTGGTATATCCGGAATATATGAGTGGGGGGTGCATCGCTTCTAACAGCTTAGTACCCGGCATGGGAGTACCCAGACCACCGCCAACTCTCCGACGCATCGTCCTATATCGGTATTCAATAGCTTAGAAATAGCTAATACTCCAAACACTAACTTAAAACAACTCCAAGTCATTCCCGTGGTTCGTCAGGAACATCGACCTGCATGATGACCTGGACCTAGAGTCCATCAGTAAGTATGTAGAGTCGGCATCAATGCGCAACTTCGATAAAGCGGCACAACACGAGAACCCTCTCATCGTGGCCGCCGGTAACTACCTTCCCGATCCTGCGGACAGAATGGAAAGCAGTCGACGTCGCCCAAACCACGTCATTTCGGATTCTCCCGATCCACTAATAGTGCTTTTAGGTACCTCAAGCACCGGTCATCGTTCTCGTTGAACCCGTCGCTTGCGACGAAGGGCTCGACGAGTAAATTAACCCACAGACACAGCCCACTGAGTTTCTCGCCGGATCTTCTCAGTAGGTCGCGTTTCCGATCCGGTGGTAGATTCTGCGAAGCACGGCTCTTGCTAGGGTTCGTGTTAGCAACGTCGTCAGGTTTGAGCCCCGTGAGCTCACCTACTAGTGAAGGTTACGCTGAAATAGCTTCTCAAGGCTATAGGTTAAGGTAGGAAAAAAAAATCTCCAAATACGGATATATTCCATGACTAAGCTACTGAAACTACCCTTAAGGCCTTAGAAATGTTTTGACCAAACTGTTATTTTGTAAGTATAGCTGGAAACAAATCACGCTCTGGTCCCAAACGTTCACATCCTAGAGGGACGAGATATCTTTTATATTTGAAGATTTCTCTGGTTTAATAACGTCTTAATTATTTTGACTATATTCATTTTTGTTTAAAAAAGCGCTGTATAGATTATGTAAGATGATGACGGTAGTATAAATTTACCTATATATTACAATTGAAGACATGAGTGGATGAAAGGGGTAATGATACAATTTGTCAATTTTGAGAAAAAGGGTCAACAAACTTTTGTTACATGTACTTTTTATTCGTACATAGCTCCTTAATTCAATGTAAAAACTAAAAAATCTTAAAAATGGTATTTAACCCCTTCATTCCATTCATGTCTTCAATTGTACTTTACCATCTATCTCTATATATAAAGATGAATTTCTGTTCGTTAGTCTCGCTAAAACTCGAGAACGGCTGGACCGATTTGGCTAATTTTGGTCTTGAATTATTTGTGGAAGTCCAGAGAAGGTTTAAAAGGTAGATAAATATGAAAATACTCGGAATCAAATAAACATAGTTGAAGTCGTCGTGGTCTAAAGGATAAGACGTCCGGTGCATTCGTATGTAGCGATGCACCGGTGTTCGAATCCCGCAGGCGGGTACCAATTTTTCTAATGAAATACGTATTCAACAAATGTTCACGATTGACTTCCACGGTGAAGGAATAACATCGTGTAATAAAAACCAAACCCGCAAAATTGTAATTTGCGTAATCACTGGTGGTAGGATCTCTTGTGAGTCCGCACGGGTAGGTACCACCACCCCGCCTATTTCCGCCGTGAAGCAGTAATGCGTTTCGGTTCGAAGGGTGGGGTAGCCGTTGTAACTATACTGANCTCTTGTGAGTCCGCACGGGTAGGTACCACCACCCCGCCTATTTCCGCCGTGAAGCAGTAATGCGTTTCGGTTCGAAGGGTGGGGTAGCCGTTGTAACTATACTGAGACCTTAGAACTTATATCTCGAGGTGGGTGGCGCATTTACGTTGTAGATGTCTATGGGCTCCAGTAACCACTTAACACCAGGTGGGCTGTGAGCAGGACCATCAATCTAAGCAATAAAAAAAAAAAAAACATAACAATTTTGTTTTTCCTTTGACGTGTCCACCGTAGGACGGATTCCTTTTGCATGTTTTAAGTTTATGTTTTATGTTTTATAGATTGAGGCACTACGAAGTCTGCCGGGTCAGCTAGTTAAGAATATAACTCGTTTGTTTGTATCGAGCGATGCCACTAATGGCAGTGTTTAAGTGTTTTCCGCTAGAAAAGATTCTGTATCTAAATATAGATAGAATTTTCTAAAAGAAAACACTTGACAAATGAAGCCGATCGAGGAAAACTTTGTGTAATCTATATCAAAACTTTTACGTGTTTGATTTTTTTTAATTTACGTAATTAATGGTGTATTTTGTATGTATACAATTCGACCTTCCAAAATTTTAGGGGAGTTGGCGCCATTCCCATTGCGAGTCTCCAGTGCTCCTTTATATATTTAATAGCAAACAAATCTCTCTCTCTTCGATCGGTTCCTCACTGCTGAGGATCGTGACTCCGTCCGATTTCGTCAACCAACTGTCTCCATCGATCCCGCCCTGCAGCCCGGTGGAGTGCGTCGCTGATAGGTATCCCCAGTTCCTCCGCTATTTGGTCCGACCATCGTTTGGGACCTCTACCCCTAGGCCTTTTTCCCTCCTATTTTACCGGTCACCACAAGGCGTTCCAAAGCAAACAAATAACGGAATGAATAAAAACGATAACTGCTGACATACTTTATATAATTATAACACACAATATAATTATTACATATAAGTATTACATCAACCACTTAATTAACAATAAGTAACCGGAAAAACCTACAAAGCATAACTTTTATTCCTTAGGCCGTCCGGAATAAAAAGTCGAAGGGAATAAAAGGTCGGATGGAATAAAACAGAAGTCGGAAGGAATAAAAACGTTTTTTTTTTCTTTCTTTCTTTATATTAAATATCTGTTTTGATATAATCTTGCATTTTTATATTTTTCAGAAAATATTAATAATCACAGTGGGCTTAGGCTAGAATAAGACTTNGAAATTTCTTAAGTTTTTTTTTTTAATAACATTCTCATAAGTATCGATAAATTTTATATAATGCTTTTTTTTTTTGGAAATTAAATCGTTTCTAAAACTACACGGATAGAATTTAAACTTAAGTTTGGAATTTCAATTTTTTTTTTTTAGTTTTTTTGTTTTTCTTATTATTTTAAATTTAAATCTTTATAACCTATTTTTAAATCAAATAAGTAGACATACGTGATCGGTTGGCCGTTTTTCAGAGCGTTTTCGTTAATTTTTTTTAACCGTTCCAGTTTTTTTTTTTTGGATTACACTTTTTTTTGTGGAAGAATTGATACGTCAGTTGGAAACCTGGCTCCTTGGAAAGAATTTCATGAAGATTTATAAAAAAAAAAAACAGTGTAATCCAAAAAGTTTTTAATTGTTTATTTATTTAAAAACAAAACTCTGTCCGTTTACCGACATTCTTTTTTTTGTAATAAAAGAAATAATCTTCGAGAATTATTTCCTTTTATCGTGCATCCACAAAATACGCAGCTATTGTGGATTACGAATTTTAAAAAAAGCTGCCAATGAACGCACAAACAGATCCCGACGCGCAGATGTTCAATCGAGAATCTTCTATTTTGAAAAAAATAAATGCGATGCGGTATTTCTGGTGACGCAGCGTTTGAAGCTTCTAATGGAGGCGGTAAGCTCCGATGCGCTTTTCGCCGGTCGTGTGCTCCACGTACTCGCGGATCTGGTCGATGGCCACCGGGCCGATGCAGACCAGGGGCTCCTTGAAGTATCCACAGCTCTAGAATAAAAACATACACTTTACTGGTTGGTGGTAGGACCCCTTGTGAGTCCGCACGGGTAGGCACCACCACCCCGCTTATTTCTGTCGTGAAGCAGTAATGCGTTTCGGTTTGAAGGGTGGGGCAGCCGTTGTGACTATACTGAGACCTTAGAACTTATATCTCAAGGTGTGTGGCGCATTTACGTTGTAGATGTCTATGGGCTTCAGTAACCACTTAACACCAGGTGGGCTGTGAGCTCGTCCACACGTCTAAGCAATAAAAATAAAAAAAATAAAAAAACTTAAATTTGATTATTAGGTGAGTTAGTAGCGAAAACAACGGGTACAGATTTCCGGTCAATGAGAGGTGCCATTATTGGAACGAAGTCCCTTATGGGACGATGCGGACGGGTACCCTAACCGGGAAAAAACGTCCGTAACGTAAGATTTTTATTAGTAATGCACACAGCGTACGACTTAACTTTGTAATAACGTTCAAAAAATAACACATTTTTTTATCATTCATTGACCACGATCTCAGAGCGTTCGTTTGCGCAATACACTAACTCTTATGCAAACAACCGTGAATGAAGTGTACCACAATAAGTTCGCACGTTACCGAACGACCGTGGGTTGTTGCGAAACCTCCAGTTTTATTTTTTTTATACCTCGAATAGAACTTGAAATTCATATTTTTATAATAAGGAATTTCGTTCGTGTCCAGTGTCCCACGACACCACACATCTTTTTTGGTGTAATCATTGACAGTGCGTTAGGTGTCTCGAAGGTTCTTTTCTCAAGCCTTCTCCTCAATGATGCCTCAAAATATCCAATCCAGACAACCGCACATGACACACTCGGCGTTGCCCTAAACACGTCAATTTGGATCCTTTTGTTCTATTGTCCTCGGTCACCGTCCTCGTCGAGCCCTAGGAATGCGATGAAGGGCTCAACGTGCAACTTAACCCTCTGACACAGCCCTGCTGCACAGGCTATCGACTAGTAGTTTCTCGATCTTGCTCGATATAACTTTCAGAAGATATCTATATATATAAAAATGAATTGTTGTTCGTTAGTATCGCTAAAACTCGAGAACGGCTGGACCGATTTGGCTAATTTTGGTCTTGAATTATTTGTGGAAGTTCAGAGAAGGTTTAAAAGGTGAGAAAATATAAAAAAGCTCGAAATTATATAAAAACAAACAATTCTGTTTTTCCTTTGATGTGTCCCCTTGATGTGTCTTTTATTTATCGATTGAGGCACTACGAAGTCTGCCGGCTCAGCTAGTCGACGATAAAGAAACCCGTAACGGTGATTTTAATCAGATCAAACGATGTTTGAATACCCTTTTTACTAGTCCAAACGTATCGGTCTGGTCATTTAGCGCATTCAAAAACACAAAGGAACCTTCGATCAAAGGAATTAGCGTAGCAAATTTCAATGTGAACGTTATGTTGAAAAATCCTCAAAGGATTTCTTTGGCTCTTTCACTGGACTTGCCTAAATGATTTTCTTTGAGCTCTTCAAACGCAAATCGCCCGAATATTTACGGGTATTTTCATTTAATTGGTTGTAGTGGGCAATGCAGAAGGAATAAATAATAGTTTAAAAATAATAATAAAATACGCTTTTATAGAAAATCCAACTAAAAAATATGTGCATGGTATCAGTAGTTATAAATATTTTATGAACAGATATGAGTAGAAGGGTTATTTTGATAATATCCTGAATAGTACCCCACGCTTTTTTTTTTACAATAAAATCATTTTTCTTACACTATTTTTAAATTCAAATTTATTAAAATTTATTTTTCATTTTTTAGTTGAATTTCAATTTTTAAAATTTTTTTTATAACTGATATGTCAACGGTCCTTAATAAGTATACCAAATTTCGAGTTAATACGACTTTTTGAAGGGGTCAAAATCATGTTCAAAGATTCCGTTACAAACATACATACGTTTGAAGCTAATAAAAGCGTATTAAAAAATAGTATTCGTAGTCGTCGTGGCCTAAAGGATAAGACGTCCAGTGCATTCGTATGTAGCGATGCACCGGTGTTCGAATCCCGCAGGCGGGTACCAATTTTTCTAATAAAATACGTATTTATCAAATGTTCACGATTGACTTCCACGGTGAAGGAATAAAATCATGTAATAAAAATCAAACCCGCAAAATTATAATTTGAGTGATCACTGGTGGTAGGACCTCTTGGGAGTCCGCAAGGGTAGGTACCACCACCCTGCCTGTTTCTGTCGTGAAGCAGTAATGCGTTTCGGTCTGAAGGGCTGGGCAGCCGTTGTAACTATACTGAGACCTTAGAGCTTATATCTCAAGGTGGGTGGTGCATTTACGTTGTAGATGTTTATGGACTCCAGTAACCACTTAACACCAGGTGGGCTGTGAGCTCGTCCAAACATATAAGCCATAAAAAAAAACCAAGTTCCTCACCTTCCTAGACTTCTGGCGGTGTCGGCGTTGCATGATGCAGCAGAGTCCCCTGGTGATCTCGCATTCGCTGGACGCGGTGCAGTCCTCGTTGTATTGCTTGCGGCCGGTGGAAGGCGGGCGGCAGATGTGCATCTCACCTGAGCGAAATGTCAGCTCAGAATCAACTTTTAAAGGACGCTTAGTGTACTGCTGGAGAGACTCATAGTGACGGGCAAAAGGAATGTAAGACAATCCAGAGGTCGGAACCAAAAACAGATGGAGTGACCAAGTTTCCGAGCATCTGGACAGGAGACTGAGCCACGCACTTCCGACATAAGTGGCTACAAATCACAAAAAAAGGTCATAAGGTCATATCACGATGCTCAGCAATGAGCGATCGATTGAAGGAGGAGTAGTGTACTGGTATTTCCTGACATCGTTTCCTAATAGGACATAGGATTTTCAAAAGACAGGTTAAATACTCTTTTGTTTAGCGAAATGTTCAACCATCAGTCCAATTACGCAAGTCAATCAAAATTTCTGGTTTTTTAGCATACAATGTTACAACTTCATCCTTAGGTATCATGAATTTTCGACAAATGCGTATTTCATATGGCACTTGCCTGCGGATTTTGAACACTGGGATAGTCGCTTCACTCGATACGACTGTGCTATCGTGTTCTTTTGTAACACCATGCTTTAGCACTGCTTTAAAAACCAATACTCAGAAGAATTGGTAAAGATTTCAGGGTTTCCTAATTTCAAATAAGGCAACACAGTCATTGACTTTTGTGTCTATCTTAATGATTAACATACCAGGAGCAGCTTCCTCGCAGATCAGCCCGGCATCGCATTGGTTCTCTCGGTTGCAGATCTCGCCAAGTTTCCTTCCAGCAAACGCTGATAGGCAGCGTCCTCCGTCATCTGTTTCAAAGACGTCATACAAGATTGGAAAATTCACATAAAGAAAAAAAAAATTGTGTGGTTTTATGAAACCACGGTAAAAGTGAAACTTTTTTTCACATTTAACTAAAAAAAATTGGAATAATATTCCATTAAGGGTATAAAAATCGCTTTATCAATCTTAATTTTATACTTGGAAAATTGGAATGATAATGGGAAAGGATAATGGTAGACTAATGCCCGTATCTTTAGACGTTTCGTAAAATAGTCCTCCACTCTTAACTCATCCGATGATGCTCGAGCATTCCCTCGAAACTTACTCGAGTTTGGTATTTTTAGTCGACCATTACAATATTCCTCAACTGTCCTCGAGTGAGGTAATAATGATGAAAATTTGATCAAGCTAGCATCAAACCCATAGAGTTCTGTAGTCTATGGTCATTGTTTAATGTCAAAGTCAAGCTGCCGCTGTCTGTTTGACACTAGATGAACTTGTTTGATGTTTTGGTTGCTGAGTTATTCGTAAATATGTGTGCGTGCGGTAAATCTGAAAGTGTATTATTTATTTTCTAACCTATTATTATTTTAGATTTCGGATCCGGCTTTGTATTTTTATTCGCCGCTTTTGTGTGATTTTGGTTGCATCGTGTTGTTGAAGTGCTTTTCCACAACCACCAGTTTATTATTATATAAATAAAACTTATAATCGCATTGACTTTATTTATCAGGTAGTAAGCAAAATATGTCTCTTATGTAGGTAAATAAAATAAAGAGTTTCAAATGTCTAACCTCGAACTATTTACTTTATTAATAAATATTATCAAACTTAAATTATCAAAATATGCGGGAATCATGCACAGATCCAGGCCATTGCACAACAATATCATATATTTCCATTTGCGGTCCACATACTATTTGGACATTGATAGAAAACCAGCCTTGAGGAACGTTCAAGGTACGTCGCGACGTACCTTGACTTGACAGTTCGCTCACTTCACTCCGGTTAGGAAATTTTTCCAAGGACGTTTGAGTGGAGTTTATTTTTACGACTAATCATACCAAAACGCGCGTTGGAGGTTGAGTCGAGTCGAGTTAAGCTCGTGTAAACGACTAAAGATACGGGTGTAAGTCTCCAACTAATATTTTTATTGAACCCGCCGCCATATTGGCCTTGGCTGTTCTGACGAGCGCCTTTCACTTTATTCCTACTCCGCGGCCGACCGTCACGCGACATGCAACACACAGACGAAAAAGTTTGTGGTAATAAAAGTTTCACTTTAAGCTTCTCTAACCTCGGAAACCGGTTAAGAATCGTTATACGCTTTCAGTTACCTCAAAAGAAAACCTTTTTAATCTTTATACACTTCCTGCCGCCATTTTATCCGGATATCCCGGTCTCAAATAATTTCCTCTAACCTCTAAATCCCTCCGGGAAAATACTTTGGTAACGTTTCGTTAAGACTGAAATGTTTATTCTGTCGAATACATTTGTTCGTTCTATTTAGATTATAGGCTGTCTAGACTTGGAATCAAGATTTTATGATGATTTACGTAGGTAGACACTGTCAGGCGAAAATGGACTCTATCATAATCGTAATTAAACAGTTATTTCTAACTATTTGGAGCTAAAGAATAGGCTAAAGATTATTTGTGGTAAAATGGATAGGTTGCTTTATCTGAAAGATATATTTCTGATGCATAATATTATTGTTTATATAGTTTTTTTGTTTTAATTGCATAAGTTGTTTTTAATATTGTTTAGTACGAAGCGGCAAGGTTGTGTAGTGGCCAACAATAGAACTCTCTTGCCTCGGGTGTCGTAAAAGGCGAGTAAAGGATTACAGTCACTGGTGGGTGATTGATAATTGGGTGTACTGTGAGCTTTTGGGTGATCTTCTACCATCTTCCTGTAGAGTGGTGTTGTAAAGCAATCATGTCGAATGTAAGCTTCGACATGATTGCTGTAAGCTTAGAGTTTTAACTGGTGGTAGGACCTCTTGTGAGTCCGCGCGGTGGGTACCACCACCCTGCCTATTTCTGCCGTGAAGCAGTAATGAGTTCGGTTTGAAGGGCTGGGCAGCCGTTGTAATTATACTTGAGACCCTAGAACTTATATCTCAAGGCGGGTGGCGCATTTACGTTGTGGATATCTATGGGCTCCAGTAACCACTTAACACCAGGTGGGCTGTGAGCTCGTCCACCCATCTAAGCAATAAAAAAAAAATCATGTAGGGGCAGAATTCAAGTGGTGATATACATAATATTACGTTGGTAAGAGCAATGCCATCTGTCGCCGAACGGCGGAAGCGAATATCAAAGGAACTAGTAAACTCGAGAACGCTCGAGAAATACAACGCCATCTATTGTCAGAGAGCGGAAACACATATCCAAGCTACTCGATCTGTCAAGAATGTTCTTGATAATTGTGGAGATGTCCTATCGACTATAAAAGCGCTATAGAGATGACACGAAGGCAGTTAGTAATCGGATCTATACGAAGCGAAACGGCGAATGGATCATCTGAAGCGAAGCGGAAGAAGTGAATTACAAATGGTAAAGTGTTCTGTGAGTATGCCGCCCTGCCTATTTCTGACGTGAAGCAGTAATGCGTTTCGGCTTGAAGGGTGGGGCAGCCGTTGTAACTATACTGAGATCTTTGAACTAATATCTCAAGGTGGGTGGCGCATTTACGTTGTAGATGTCCATGGGCTCTAGTAACCACTTAACAACAGGTGGGCTGTGAGCTCGTCCACATATGTAAGCAATAAAAAATACAAATTCTAAGAGTTAAATAGAGTTTTAATTTGTACTTCGGTAAAATTCTTATTTATCCCGAACCCCAGCGCGTAACAATATCTATGACCTCTAGTAACCACTTCACACGAGGTGAGCCGCGAGCTTGTTCACCAATCTACGCGAAAGGTGCAACTTGAATTCCCTAATGATTCCAAAATTAGACGAATTTAATTTTAATCTTTAAAAGCCATTTGGTGTGTGCAAATAAACTGAAGATTAATCTAATTCCCTTTGGCTCCAACGATTAATTAATAATAAATAATGGCTTTTGAGGGCTTATTAATATGGGAGAGGTAGAACGAGCTCCGAGGTTGGTTTCATTAAAAATGTACGCTGTATACGTTGGCCGAACATTGGACAAAGCTGGATTAAGTTGGCTTTCATTTTCGGGATATTTGTTGAATATTAGCCAGAGAGTCGTTTGATGTTTGATCCGCGAAAGGTAATGTAGAGTCTAATGAAAGGAAATTGTTTAACTAGAAAGAATAATATGATTATAGTTGATTGCGATGAAGTCGTAGTGAATGCAGCGGTGTTCGAATCCCGCAGGCGGGTACCAATTTTTCTAATGAAATACGTACTCAACAAATGTTCACGATTGACTTCCACGGTGAAGGAATAACATCGTGTAATAAAAATCAAATCCGCAAAATTATAACTTGCGTAATTACTGGTGGTAGGACCTCTTGTGAGTCCGCGCGGGTAGGTACCACTACCCTGCCTATTTCTGCCGTGAAGCAGTAATGCGTTTCGGTTTGAAGGGTGGGGCAGCCGTTGTAACTATACTTGAGACCTTAGAACTTATATCTCAAGGTGGGTGGCCCATTTACTTTCTAGATGTCTATGGGCTCCGGTAACCACTTAACACCTACGCTATAAAAAATCAAAAAAAAAACAACTGAATCATCGACCATGGTAACGATTTAAGTAAAATCATTCATGAGCTGTCGTTGATAGCAAATATTAGCAAGATGATATATTGATATTCGCACGCATACACTGAACATACATTGGAAATAAAGTTCTCGTATTTGACATTATATTTATTTGACTATTCCGCAGATTTGAAAAGATTTTCCATCTTATCTTCTTCTTTTTCTCCGCCTTATCCTGCTAGGTGGGGTCTGCACAGCTAATTTTTTGATTTTTGCTGCGGGCATTACGAATGTCACACCCTTTAGTTGTTAGTCAATACTTTGCTCAGAACGTTTTAAAGACACTCCCTAATATCCCTAAATAGCGTAAACGCTTAATATAGGCTTAGGTCTGTACCCTAGATATAGTTGACTATGAGACATGAGGTCGAATATTTTATTGCATGACCCTTTTTGAACCAGCTGAAGCTTCTAGTTAGAAACAGAACGATGGTTTTTTTTTACCTACTTAAGCTGATAGCCTTGAGAGGCTATTTCAGTTTCGCCCAAACGTGTAGGTGAGGTCATGGGGCTCAAACCAGGAATGTTGCTAACACTGACCCTAGCAAGAGCCGTGCTTCGCAGAATCTACCACCGGATCGAAAACGCGACCCACTGAGAAGATCCCGGCGAGAAACTCAGTGGGCTGTGTCTATGGGTACGATAGCATTCATCCTTCCAAGTTCACAGTAAATCCGTTCTGTAATTACACAAGTTATGAATTCTTTGACTTTGCTTTTATGACTTGAATATCAACTTGGAATTCAAGTAACACACACGCCCTATCTGAAATCTCTGAATAGGCAATCACATAGCTATTTTTATGGACTTCTGGCCATAGTTAACTATGGACTGGTCGTAAAACTGCTATGTAAGTTCAACGAAAACAACCTTAAAGTTTAGCTGTTAAGTCTCAAAATTGCGCTCCGAGCTACGTTATAAATCAATTAAGGTTGAACTCTAAAAGCTTTTTACGTCATAAATAAGGTATTACTAAATGAGCCTTCAGTCTTTAAATAAGATAACTAAATAATGAAACACACCCGACCAAGCTTTGTTGAAATGTTGGCCAAACTTTTACTCTGCGCGGATAAGAGGGTTTTCCGTTTAATCACGTCCCGTGAGATCGTTGTGGGTTTTATGAGGCACTATGGCTTACGTCAACACCAGCCGTGGGTTTTATATGAACTAGAATCTGTACACTAAAGAGATTTTTTCAGAAAAAAAAAAATTGCTATGAATATCCCGTTGTGGTAAGAATGCGTCACTACAATTACGTTTTTATTTACTATTATTGCTTGAATCCAATAA